CCGAAAAAGTTGAGACAATGCTCGATTAAGTAAAATTGACATCGGTCAAGGAGATCCGTAACTTTCTAGGGATGGCAGGTTATTACCGCAGATTTTGTGGAAGGGTTTTCTAGCTTACCTGCTCCTCTGACTCGGCTCGCAAATAAGAACGTCAAGTTTGAGTAGAACGAGAACTGTGAAATGAATTTTTTAAAACTAAAGAAACAACTAACTACTGCACCTGTGTTGGACTTGCCGAGCGGGTCGGGTGAATATACAGTTTATGGTGATGTCTGCTACTAAGGGTTGGGTTGTGTTCTGATGCAGTATAGGAATGTCATAACCTATAGGTCCAGACAGTTGAAGAGTCATGAGAAAAACTATCTCACTCATGACTTAGAACTTACCGCAATTATCCACGTTTGAAGACTTGGCGCCATTACTTGTATGGGGAGACCTTTCAAATCTATACCAATCATAAGAGTTTGAAACACATATTCACTCAAAAGGATTTCAACATGCATCACAGAAGATGGATAGAATTCCTTAAGAACTATGAATGCAACATCTTGTATCACTCAAAAGAAAAAGTGCAGGCATATTAGCTCACTTGATGGTTTCCGAATGCAGGGTAATAGGGGTCACACAACAGGTACGACTTCAGAACCTGAAGAGAGTCACATGTTTGTCTTACCTGACTATTCAACCCGAGTTGATCCAGAGAATAAAGGAAGCTCAGTCCGCCGATTCCACCCGAGCAGCCCTCAAGAAAGAAGCAGAATATGGAGTTAATTCAGAATTTCGAGTCTCTGCCGATGGGTTGTTTAGATTTCAGAACAGGGTGTGTGTTCCAGGTGACGATGAGTTGAAAAGGGACATCATGACAGATGCCCATAACTTGAAGTTTGTTATGCATCCCAGAAGCATTAAAATGTATTAAAATATGCGACCCCGATTTTGGTGGAACGCGATGAAAAAAGATGTGTCCAACTTTGTTCAAGTGTTTGGTATGTCAGCAAGTCAATGCAGAACATCAACACCCAGACAGGCTACTTCAGCCATTATCTATTACAGAGTGGAAGTGGGAACATATCACAATAGATTTCGTGACAGGATTGCCTTGGTCACGTTCAGGACTTGATGTCATTTGGGTAATTGTTAACCGGCTCACCAAGTTTTTCCACTTCTTACCCATCAGGATGACCGAACCCTTAGACAAGATAGCAAAAATATACATCTGGGAGATAATCAGATTACATGGAGTACTAGTGACAGTAGTGTCCGACAGGGACCCAGGTTCATTTCTCGTTTTTGCTCTAGTTTTCAACAAGCCATCAGAACGAAACTATCTTTTAGTACTGCATTTCGCCCTCAAACCGATAGACAGTCAGAAAGGACGATCCGCACACTTGAGAAAATGCTCCGAGCTTGTGTTCTTGACTTCGGGGACCATTGGAATGATTATTTACCCCTGATAGAATTCGCCTACAACAACAACTACCAAGCAAGTATTGGCATGACTCTGTACGAAGCGCTGTATGGCTGCCCATGCAGATCGTCGATACGTTAGGAAGAAGTAGGTGATAGAAAACTGTTCGACTCAGATCTCGTAGAGAAGACTACAACCAAAATAGTTAAGATCAGGAAAAACATTCAGACGGTTCAGAGCATGCAAAAAAGTTATACAGATACCTGGAGAAGAGATTTGGAATTTGAGAAAGGTGATCGAGTATTCCTTAAGATCACTTCTTTCAACAGAATTAGTAGGTTTTGCAAGAGGGGAAAACTAAACCCTAGTTTATTGGGTCATTTAAAATTTTAAACCAAATTGACACTGCCGCCTACAAACTGGCACTGCCTCCAGAACTTTTCAAGATCCATAATGTGTTTCATGTATCCATGCTATGGAAGTACAACTCAGACCCCTCTCATGTCTTGGCTCACGAGACTCTTTCACTGCAGGAGAATCTGTCCTACGAGAAAGTACCAATCCTTATTGTGAACTGAACGAATAGAGTACTCCCCAACTGGAAAATTCCCCTTGTTAAAATCCTATAACAGAATCACACACTGAGAGAGATCACATAAGAGCTAGAATCAGACTTAAGAGTCCAATATCTCCGATTGTTTGATTGAGTAAGAGAGACAAATTTGAGGGATCAAATTTCTTTTAAAATGATGAGAGTTGTAATGCCTTAATTAATTTTAATTCTAATTAAAATTAATGAATAAATATAATTTTCTAATTTTTTAATTTTTATTTAAGGTAAAAATGAAGAAAATTAAATAGAGAATGAAATTGAAAATAATTTTGGAAAAAATGGATAAAAATTTGGGTTATATGGGTGTTTTTGAAAGAAAAATTAGAAATTGTGAGTTAAAACACAATTTAAAAAAATTGCACCACGTAGGAAACCCAGTCAGCAGCCCCGACGAACAGGAGTGCGCTGCGTGGCAAGCCACGCTGATGTGGTGCCACGCGGGAGACTACGTTAGCGATCCGCGTGCCGCGATCGGACGGCCCAAATTTGTTCCTGCGTGCACGGACAGTTTGGATTCGTTCCCTTTTCAGACGCAATCGGACGGCCATGATTAAACGCGATAAACGGTCCAGATCTACTTTCTATTTAAATGCAATCGGATGGCTCAAATCAAATCGCGTTGAATAGCCCAGATTCATTCCCTATTTAATCGCGATCGGATGGTCCAGATCAAATGCGATGGACAGCCCTGATTAAAAGAAGACGGATATAAATAACCTTCTTCACACCAAACCCTAACCCTACCCACCAAACAACCCCGATGGAGAAGAATGGAGCCGTCTGCCGCCCCCTGCCGCGCTGGAGCCACTTCTAACTACCAAAAAAGATAAAAATTTTCTTATTTGCTCGAAATTCAATTTTGAACACTCACATGGCCAAATTGGAGGAAAAGGATCAGCGGATGGGTCGGAAACTGCGGGTAAAACCCGGCGACGTCGCTGTGAGAAAAGGCGAAAACCGCCTCCGATGAGGCCCTTCTCGATTCCCATTGTATGTAATTTTTTCACCACTATAATCTCCATTATGTTCTCTACAAGTTGACCGAAGCAAAACACCAAACTACAAAGGTGAGCCGGTGGAGCCGCCGCACCGGGGAACTCCGCCGCCGGTAAGTTTTAATTTTTCGACTTTTTTCGGCCAACCAAGACCCCTTAACATGTTTTCTAGCAGGAATTGGTACAAAACCGGCCGAAAACAGCCGACCTGATGCAAACCTCCGCCGCAGGCAACGGTGTCGTCACCGAAGCAAGGCGGAGCCGCCGTGCTAGATTTCCGAAATTGGTCTAAAGGGGTTCCTAACACTGATTTTGGATTTTTTAGAGTATTTCTTGGTACTTGAAACGCGTTTTAATCTCCGAAGGAAAATTCAGGGAATCCAGAGACCGCTAGTAGGCGCAGTCAAAAGTTAGCATTTTGAACATCAGTTTGAGTAAGAATCTCTCACCTTATTCTCTATTATGGAATTAAAATTTAATTCTAAATAATATTGTATTTTGTGAAACTTAGAAAATATTCATTATTAATTACAAATTACTAATGTAACCGAAATTAATTGTTTATTATTATTTGTTATATTTAAGCGATTGTCTGACTTTATAATTTTCGAATGCATAATAATACACTGGAATTAGTATGATGATGCAATTGTATTTTTTTTATGCATGTATTACTTGTTTTATGTTATTACGGTTGAATTAAGAAACTAGAAACTAAATGTGAACGAGAAATCGTTTGATTAAGTGGATGGATGAACGGCAACCTTACTGGTTGAGAGATGGTGGATAGACCGGGTACATAAGGAATCTTACGTGAACATTGTCTCATACTGGACGGGGTATCGAGATTTGGTAATTTGATGCTCATACCGGACGGGGTATTGAGGGATGGTATCTTTTGGCGCTCATACTATACGAGGTATAGGGATGGCCTGTTAATTGAAAATATTAAAACAGGGTTCACGTGTAATGAGTACATTCTTATAAACCCCCACAGATACCAGTAGACTGAAGAAATGGAAGGTTGTAGTTCCAACTTATTGTATATGAAATTATGATGTGTTATATTATTGACTTTATAGATTATTTTTGGAAATCTCGCTACGGTAAGTATGTGGTAAATGATTTTATTTATGACAAACGAATTTATTTAAATTAAAAACTTCATTAGTTGTTTTGATGATTTCTATCAATTTTCATTTCTGTATCGATGAGTAGCGTGGTACTATTAATGGAGTAGTATAACTCATTCTTTCATTAATCATTTCAGATCAAGAAGATCAAGATCCAAAACTCGATCCACAAGATGGTTGCGAGTAGAATGCCCAGTTGTTTTTTTTCCATTTATTTTTTTAATTTTTTATTATTTCTTTTAAAAGAGTCAGTCCCGTAGCCATATTGGGTAATCTGAATTATTGTGTAAAAAATATAAACCCTAACTATTTATAATTTATTTTTTTTCTAATTCACAGATCGTTGCACAAAAGGCTAGAGCCCACAATTATCCTATACATCTCAAGCTTGTGTGGAAATACAAGGAGAACGATTATTCATTCTGGTACCGGAATCACATCATTTGTTGACAATTTACGCTAATCTCTTAGTATAAATAGAAACAAGCGTTTTACTGCTGAACGAACATATAAAAATTCTTATATAAATAACATAAACCAGAAAGCAACGACACAACTTAATCGATCAGCCATTCATGAGAATGCTCGATGTTACACAGCAAAACACTCTAACTAAATCAATTCTGGGTCGAATGCTGGATTCTGGAACTAAAGCAGTTACCACAATTCTTCCCAAGTAATTGGTCAAGAATTGATTCCACGCCCCCGTAAAATGCAACGAAATCCACAAAAATGAAATATACAAATAAAATTATCAGAAATCAACAATTGAATTTTCGACTCCACAATATGACAAAATGTTATATCGCAACTGAGGTAACCTAATTTACGAAGTATTCCATTTCCCTTACCTCTCAAAACCTTAGGAACCGGAACACGAAGAGAGCCTCGAGAATCCCGAAACACGCCCCTGCAAGTACATCCAACAGGAAATGCCTCCCAAGAAGAACCCTAGAGATGGCAGTCAAGCTCGCCCATATCCAAACCCCAAAAACAATGGCTCGCGTCATGTCCTCCTTGTTGTAGTCATCCGGAATCCATCTGTCCAAGAACCAACCATTTCCACTCTCCCCCCACGGCTTAGACGAGAATGTGAGGGCAAATCTCTCAATGGCAGCTGCGGAAAGCGAGACGGAGGCGGCAACGAAGAAGACGCGGGTGGCGTGACCACTGGGAAATGAGAAGTTGTCGATGGATATGACGGGGGACATAGAAGGGTTGTAGTGAGGGCGGGAGCGGCGGAAAAGAGTCTTGACGAAGCCGATGAAAACTAGGTCGAGAAGAAGTCCGACGACGAACGGGAGGAGGAAGGAGAAGCGAAGAGGGGAAAGGGGAGGGGCGAGGAGAAGGGCGAGGGAAACGGGGAAGGAAAGGCGGAAGTCAGCGGAGTATTCGAGGAGGAGGAGGAAAGAATGCGGAAGGATGGGCTTGGTGAGGGTATGAAGCGCGTGAGAAAGCGTGGCGTCTACGGTCAACAGATGGCGAGGGAGTGGAGTTGCAGTTGGTGGGTTTGTGGTGTTGGCTTTGAGTGGCGGTTGTGCGGAAGCCATGGCGGGGTTGGGTCTCGTTGGCTGGGATGGATTACAGTTTTGTTTGGTTGTTCTTTGACTGAGTTTAATCCAACAGGTCAGGGAAAAGAATAAAGCCCGAGAGAAAGTCAAAAGAAGCCGGCGACGGCGCCCCGTGTGCTACGCAAATATATATTTGCCGGAGACGTAGTTACTTTTAACTATTTTGTTTCTTTGAATAGTGTTTTCTATTTATTTTTATTTTTATTGTAAAAAATTATATTTTATTAAAATTTTAGATTTGTTATATTTCCTAGTGGCTAAATCCAACACTCAAAAGCCCAGAAGGAAAAGAGAAGAGGGCCTTAAAATAGGCCCAACTCTGATGCAAAGACAATCAGCACTAATTAATGATCTTCAAAACAGCGTCGTTTGGCTGAATCTATATTGGCCTTAAAACGATGTTGTTTTAATAGGAGGCGTCAGCAGTTGTTGAGTTGGAGGAGGAGAGGGTGATCGTACAAAGGAAGTTAGGTTTCTTGCATATTTTGATTCAATAGACTTCCAACTTATCAGTTTCATTTCAATTCTTGTGGTTTAGTGACAGACATACATATTCATTCACGCACTAATTTGGGCAAATTTGATGTGCTAATTTTTACTAATTACTGTGCTTTTGGCGAGCACCATCACCTACAAAATAATAATAATAATAATAACAATTTGGACAATAACACACACGGGCAACTACATAAAAGAGAAGAGAAATGTGAAGACAACTGATTTGCCATTTTCCTTTCTTAAGTTTCTAGTTCATTCACTGCATCTATATTTCATAAAGAATGTAATAGTCGAAGATGAATTGAACACATCACACATATTGCCATAAGAATAATATTAAAATACAACTTTTTAAATATATATATATAATAATAAAAAATAAATAATAATAATAAGATAATAATAAATAAATTAATGAACAAATGAAAAAAAAAAATTTAAAATGTTAAATTAGAAATATAAAAATTTAATTATAATTTTATTTTTTAAAAAAAAATTATATACTATTTCATCTTCAAAGCGTGATCTTGCATTTCAATTTATATAAGTCTTTTGACAGTTCTGTACCATTTTCGTCCTTATATATATTATCAAATTTATTTATGAATCCCTCCATGAATTTAGTCTGTATATAGTGTTGACTTTTAATTTACAATAGTCCAAGACCGCATATGCTTTTTCTCTCATTTTAATTTGATTTAGCCCTAAAAGCTTCCACTTGATATTGTTTGAAAATCTAGGTAAATGCAAATTTCATTAATAATGACCAAAATCAAATAACTATTGTATTGTATGTATCGATAAAAATATTAAAAATAGCTCATCTCATATACTCTTTTTCTTTTCTTTTAAAAACTTATGATTGTATATGTATGTATATATATATATATATAAATATATAAATATTAGAAAAATTAAGGGGAAAAGTAAGAAAAATGAGAGGGAGTTCAAACTTCAAACTAAGCATGCCCGGAGAAGAAGAAAAAAAAAACACACACACGATTCCCGGAGTTGAAATAGATTCTGAAGCGTGGAGGCAAAGGCTGGCAAAGTAATCACAGCAACACTAAATTCATTTTGATTGATGCAAAATCCCATGGTCATGCTAAAACGAGGCACTCCTTTTCATTGTACGCCATCTACATCTCATTATGATCTCTTCTTATACACATATATACAAATATACAGAATATAGGAATGTTCAGAAACTTCGCAAGATTCAACCTTTTTGTCTTCCCATTTTCTAGATATATGTTTTTTTCCTCTTTAGTCGTTTTAAAAGAAAAAAACAAAAACAAAAGAAGTCACCATATGAAATCTCATGTTGCATGAACTCAAATTTTGTGTTTGCAGTTCTGCTTTTTGTTTTCTAAAAAATAAAAACCATGTCATAATATTATCTGAATTTCGAAAAAGAGCTTTTGGTGTACATTTGAGTGTAACCCACCATTGGATCATAATAAGTTTCTTTTTATTTTTAAAATATATATATTTTAACTTTTATTTCATTTAATTTTATATCTTTTTTAGTATGTGAGAAGAAAGAAAAAAATAAAAATAAATAAATAAATAAATAGATCTAATAAAATTAAGTGAACGAAATGAGTTACATATCTTTTACCAAGATAAATGTCATCGTCAAAGGAAAGATTCAAAAATATTTACTCTTAATTCTTCTCGAGTAAGTAAAATATCTTATTAATATTTACTGAACAATTATATTTTGAAAAGTTCTATACATCTCCAATGTTATTAATAGATTATCCTATAAAAAGTTTATTGACATTTTTCTTTAACAAATAATTTTTTTTCTTGCTATAAAAAATGAAAAAGAGAAACACAAAAACAAAAATAAAAACTAATCATAGATAAATTGAGACCAAGTAGTATCACAATAATACATGAACATCAACACACTCGTGGTCTTTTCAATGATGTAGTCAACTTGACGGATAAGGTAGTCTGAACAAGTATTACCTTTATGGTGGATATAAACGACATAAATATCATAGTCATTATCTAATAGTTTCTTAAACTCATTTTCAACTATGCTCGTAATTGATGCTACTCAAACTTATTATGAAGAATAACCATGGCTTGAAGAGAGTCAACCTCCACTATTAGCTTTTTAATCCTCTCATCTCAGCAAGCTTCAGTCCTTCAATAATCCCATAAAGTTTTGTGCACAAAATATTGTTTGGTTCGTTCTAAACTTATATATGAAGTCAGACATCTATTTTTCTTAGTCGTTGCATATGAATCCACTAGTTGGTATACTGGTTGGATCAATATAAATATAATTATCAATATTAAGCTTGTAACACCCCTAGGAGAGGGGCCTTCCATCTAGGATCTCGAGTGTGATTCCCATCTCTAAATTATATAATGGGCTTGATGCTACCAATTTGAAATTTCAAAACCATGCGAATAATCACCTCTGGCATCTCAAGGTTGTGATTATCCTTGTTGATGAACTTGTTTTACTTCTTCTAAAGGAAGCATGTTGTGGTGGTGAAAATTATTCTCTAGCTATAATGTCATAGGAGTTAACATCACTCCTCAATTTCCACAATATCCACCTATCAAAAGAAAAAAAAAAGAATATCAACACAAGTATTAATAATCAAACCATTTCATACCTATTGTAACTCAGGATAATCTCTGAGAGTGCGAATGAGGGATTTGTTACTTTCATGACATATCTCAAAATAATCATTATTAATGATAAAAATGCAATTTAAAGTCATTGACCATGTGAGATGTCTCACTTTCTTGGGCATGAAAAGAGACCAAATGGCTTTCTAAATATATATTTATCTAGGTTGCCCCCAAATATGGAGGAATTTATACGTTAATTTCACAGTAAGTTTCCATCATTAGCATTACAATACCATATTTTATCATTATTCATCTCCTTTTATCTTATCTGAATTTGAGCAATTTTAAGGCATTTCATAGTTGGTATGTAGTTAGTGAAATCAACTCATTTCCAAGTCTCGTCTGTATTTGTAATGTTTATATTTATCTTACCCAAAAGCCCAATTGGCACTGGGTTCAATGGCTACTAATGAAGGGTCGATACCTAACCCAAATGTCTTTTAAAAGTTAATCCTATGTCCATTAGTTATTGTCAATCTAATTCACTTTAGGGTTTCCTTAAATTCGTTATAGGGTTTTAAGCTTTTCTTTTTTTTTTTTTTAAGGAAAAAAAATCTCAACACACAAGTTTACTTGGTTGAATCAACCTTTGATCCTCATTTCTTATTGGGTTCTCTCTTTTGGAGCTAAAAGAAGCCTCAAAATTCTTAGAATCCTTGAGAATCTCCATATATTTAGGTTGTTTTCAGCCTATGGTCTCTAGTATCAATTGCATTGACCTTTATTATAGTTTCTCCAAACATATTTCCATCATCAAAATATTAAAACAATCTTGACACCTTATCTTTTACTTTTTCTTTTATTGGCTTTACCTCCCTTTGATCTCTAAACTAAGGCCACACCATATTACTATTGTTTTTTTTCTTTTCTTTCTAGTGCAATAGATAAAATAGAATGGTTGTAAAAATTACTTGTTTTCCCATTAGCATAACCCTTGAATCCCTCACGTGTCATGGTCTATTACTTCGACATTTTCTTATCCAACCACAATATTTTATAGTCTTAAAAACAAAGAGAGAGAGAAAGAGAGAAAGAGTATTGAGAGAAAAAGAATCTCAAATTTGAGCCTTTAAAAGACACTTAAACGATATCATTTTAGAGCCTCCTATGGCTCTTCTTTGAACAACATGTTTTAGGTGTCATCTATGATAATAAGCTCCCTTAAACGACATCGTTTCATTTAAAGGAGACCTATGCTTGGGCTTGGTTCATGTCAGGCCTAGATATTTTGATCCAAGCCCAGGCGCCCTTTCCTTACATTCCCCTTCTATTTTTCTCCTTTTTTTTCTATTTTAATTATGTTTCATTATTTTTCCCTCTTTTTCCTTTTTGTTCTTTTTTTCTTTTCACGGATTTTTTCTTTTCT